CGTGGGCGGCTGGAGGGGTGTCCCACCCTGCCAGGGTGCAGCACGGTGGCACAGCCCGGGGAGCACCAGCCAGGGTGCGAGGAGCCACTCGCGCACATGTCCCCACCACGCCAAGGGTGGGTTGGCGTCTCCTCACCCTGCAGCAGCTGGGGAGAGCACCGGGGGCGCTGACGGGAGACAGGAACAGCCAGCACCAATTTGTCACAGTCAAATTCTGTCTGCCCCGTGATGGGGCGGAGAGGCTGCTTACTATTGGCTGTGGTTGACACCAAAGAGCACTGGAGGCCAGAATGGGAAATCAAAATTGTATTGACAGGGTTGAAACACCTTCTGGGGAAAAAAGACTCTTGTCCAGAAGGGCAAATGCCAAACACATCTGCCTTGGGGCAGGATAACGGGCTCTGCAGGAGCAGCCCTTGCTTTCCACGGACCACAGAAGACAACTAGATGGGCAGCTGAATGGCATGCCTAGGGCTCAGCAAGCTGAAGCCAACAGAGATGAAGCTCATACGCTGTCAATATAACAAACTGCAGCAGCGCAGGATGAGGGACCACAGCCTGGGGCAGGACTTCCCGCAGGAGGGTCAGTGCAGAGCCCAGGCGAACCTCGAGGGACCGGCACACGTGAGAAATGCCCCAGCAGCACGCATGTGAACAGGCTGGTCGAACCGGATGGTCCCCTTGCAAGACGCAGGAAGTTACCCTACGGCTCGGCACAGCGCCGGGCAGGCGCCGGCTGGCCGCGGTGGGAAGGGTGTGGAGCTGCACAGCCCTGCGGGGACCAGCCGGAGTGGGGCTGTCCCCGTGAAGAGCGGCTGGCCGCGGGGAAGCTGCAGGAACAGTTTTCAAGCACGCAAGAGGCAGCTGCGCAGAGGAAGGACGTAGTCTGTTCTCCATATCCCTTGGGGACAGGACAAAGTCTTAAATTGCAGGGGGGGAGATCCCAGTTGGATATTAAGAAAACCCATCCCCACAGCATGATGAGACCTGGGGCTTGTCTGGGGGCGCTGGGGCATCCCTGGGAATCATCAGAGGACCCCAACAGGGACAGGATCCTGAGGAGTGCCCACCACAGCAGCAGACCTTTGGGACCCCACATCCTGTTCCCTGGTGCCATCAGGGGGGCAGAGTTGGGACCCCACCTCCCCTCCTCTGGACCCCGCTGCCTGTTGTTTGTCCGTTTATTGTCCGTAAGGCAGAGCTGACACCTCCGAAGGGTTACCGCAGAGCTGGAGGCTGTGCACAGACAACGCTATCCCTTGTCCCTTTGCACCCACTGGGGTGGCCCAGTCCCACGCTGGCAGCGATGCTTGCAGCCCCACTGGCAACACTTCAGGCCCAGAGCACATCGAGAGCTGCAGGGCAGGCAGCTGCTGGGTTGCTGCTTCCCCTCTCGCCCCAAAGCTTGGGCATTTTGTGTCCATGGCCACAGGCGGCAGCACCCCGGCTCCTGGGACAGCTGCTCTCCTGCCTGCTCTGCTGCAAACGCCCTGCTGGCACTTGTCCTTCGGGGCCATCCCAGCGCATCCCCCAGCAGTGTGGGGCCATGTTGGTGGCTGGCGGTGTGCCAATGTGGCCAGCACACACTGGGTGGGTAGCCAGGGAGGGGACGGCACAGTCCTGCTGCAGGGAGGGTGCTCTCGGGTAGGGGCACTGGCGTTTGGCCGCTCGGCCCCGGAGGGTGACGGGCAGCCCCTCGTCCCCAAAGCACTGTCCCAGCAGGCTGGGGGCCAGTGTTGCCTGTCTGCACGGTGCCTGCGCAGCCTCACGCCTCCTCGGCGGTGGCATCGATCCCCGCATAGGTGAAGTTCTCGAACAGGGCCATGTTCACGTAGGCCTGCGGGGGAACCTCGGTCAGGAGCCGGTTGTGACAGTGTCCCCATCTACCTCCCGTCCCTGCTGGCACCCCTGTGGGCACTGTGCCCTGGGGGGAGGTGATGGGGCTCCCCACAACTGAAAAGTGATGCTGGGGTTACCCCCATGCGTGGTGGGGTCACACAGGTTCTACTGTTGGATGTCCCCCTGGAGCCCAAGGGATGCTCCAGCATTTGGAAAGCCCCGCACAGGGTGGGCATCCCTCCCGCTGAGCCGGGGCGATGTGGGTACCCTGTGCCCAGCCCTGACGCCACCGCCACTCACCTTCCTGGCCTCCAGCATGCGGATGAGCTGCATGGAGATCTGGGCGAAGGGTGGGCGCTCGTAGGGGCGGTCACGCCAGCACTGCCTCATCAGTTCGTACCTGGGGGCAGAGAGCCGGCGGCGGCTCAGCGTGCATGGGGGGAGAGGCAGCAGAAAAGCTGTTTGTGGGAGATGGGGGGAAGCAGGCGGGAAACTAAAGCCCAGGAAGGGTGTTTGGGTTGTGGGACCTCAGCTCATCCCCCAGCCACAGTGCAGAGGTGAACCAGGCAGGAGCTACCGCAATTGGTGGGAACCCCGTGGGGCAGTGGGGTCAGGGGGATGTGGGTACCGCCATCAGCCGGGGCTTTCTTCCCACTTACACCTCATCGTCACAGTTGCGTGGCTTCTCCATGCGGTAGCCTTGGGGCAGCTTCTCATAGAGCTCAGCGCACGTCATCCCACAGTACGGCGTCCCCCCTGCGGCCAGAGACACACAGCTGGCTGCGGCGGGGACGGTCCCTGGGTGTCTCCTCTAGAGCTGCAGGAGGACCAAACCTGCAGGGACCTGGGTGGAGGCAGGGGACAAAGAAGAGCCTTACCCAAGCTGACGATCTCCCAGAGCAGGACGCCAAATGACCACCTGAAAGGGCAGAAGCTGAGGCTGTGACGGAGCCCCTAGCCGTGCCCCGCTAGGGGCATAGGGCAAAGCCCAGGGTGGAGCAGGCAGCCAGGGCTCAGGCCAAGCCAGCAGCTCCCCAGGGAGGTGCACCAGCATCACCTCCTGCCCTTGCAGCACCCAGAGCAAAAGCATCGCTGCACTGACCATCCCAGAGAGGGATGGAGGCAAATGCGGCCATGCCCCAGCCCTGGTGCCCCTGCCTGCAGGACTTACACGTCACTCTTGGTGGTGTACACGCTGTAGTTCAGGGACTCGATGGCCATCCAGCGAACCGGCAAGCGGCCCTGGGGAAACAGAGAGCGACCGTCAGTGGAGGGGGGATGCCCCGCAGACAGAGGGCAGCTGTGACCCAGCCGGTCCCAGCATGGTGGGTCATTCTCGCTGACAGTGGGGGTCCGGCCCACTGCATCGGTGCAGGCCCCATGGAGATGCTTCGCTCCTGCCTCACCATCGTCTTCTTCACGTAGACCTCCTCCCCTCTGGAGAGGCCAAAGTCAGCAATCTTGGAGGCCAAGTTTTCTCCCACCAGGATATTCCTGGCTGCCAGGTCCCTGTGAATGAACTGAAAGGGGCCAGCACTCAGCAGGAGCCACATGCTCCTTCCTGCTGGCCCCAGGGGTCTTGTGCCCTGCTCAGGAGTCCCCAGGCCCCTGGGGAAAGGATGCTCTGGGGGGCTTGCTGGGCATGTACCTGCTTCTCACTTAGGTACTGCATCCCCTTGGCCACGTCCGAAGCGAACTGGAGGAGCTGCTGGGAGGTGAGGGTGGAGGCAGTGCCGTGCTCCTTGGCAAAGGCCGGGTCTGTCTCCAGGACTCGGCTTTTGCGGAGGAAGTCGAGGAGGTTTCCGTAGGGAGCATACTCAATGGCGATGTACAGGTAGCCTGGGGGGCAGGAGGAGGTTGGGCTCGTGGGGGTCTCCCTGGCAAAGAGGAATACACAGCCGGGCAGGGGCCATGGGGCTGGGGAGAGGGGAGAGGGGGACAGCCCTCACCCTTGTTCTCGCAGGCACCCAGCAAGTTGATGATGTTGGGGTGATGGCCCAGTTTGCACAGCACCTCCAGCTCCCCAGCAAAGTCCCGATGGTCGTTCTCCGAAGCAAACTCTGGAAGGAAATCAGGGATGGGTGCCTCAGTCCTACAACAAGGGCCCTTCCTCTGCTCCTCCGCTGATGGCTCCTGCCCCTCCTCAGCCCTCAGCATGCGCTGACATGCAGCCGCAATCCCCAGCCCACCCTGCCCACCTCTCCGCACCTCTCACCTTTCAGCATCTTGATGGCTGCGTTCATTTTCAGGCCGTCCTTTTTGATCATGGCCCTGATGACTTGCCCAAAGTTGCCCTCCCCGATCATGTCCTCAAACTTGATGTCTTCCCACTCCAGGATGGGGTAGCTGAGGGGCTCGGGCTGTGGCTTGGGCCGGAGTGTCAGGGTCAGGGTCCCTGAGTTGAACTGCAGGATGGTCTCTTCCCCCTGGCAGATGGGAGCGGGTGAGGTTAGAGGCACCGGGCACCTCTCTGCCCGCGCGGCAGTCCCGGCAGGGCAGGCGTCGTGGGCAAGGGC